ACAGCCAGACTAGTGGGCTGGTGAGAGGGCTCAGCTGATAAGGGTGCTTGCCACTCGGCCTGACAGCCCGAGTTCAGTTCTCAGAGCCCTCGTGGTGGCAGGGGAGAACTGACTGCTGAAGTTGTCCTCTGACAGCCACAGGCTTTGGAATCAATCACCTAGTAGACAAAGCTCTGGACGTGTCTGTGAGGGAATACTCACCCTAAGGGGGCAGCACCTTCCTACTTCAGTCCATCTGTCTGCCTTCACCCCACCCCCATGCACCCCCTCACTCAGATGGCTGCTGCTATCTGAGATTCCAGCCTCTTAGACCTTCCAACTGGGACTGGATACTGACAACTCTCCAGGAAACTCCAGGCCACAAGCACCAGATTGGTTCTGTGGAAGGAGATGTCCAACTTTATGGAATCATCAAATTCTCCCTCCTCCTCAGCATGCAGGTAGCCAGTGTTGGATTACCTGGATTGTCTAAGCAGGGCCATTCTGGGCCAGAGAGAGACTGACCGTCGCTCCTCCCCACCTCAAGATTTTATTTTGTATTTATTTATTTATTTATTTATTTATTTATTTATGTGTGTGTGTGTGTGTGTGTGTGTGTGTGTGTGTGTGTGTGTGTGTGTGTGGAGAGAGAGAGAGAGAGGGAGGAAGGGAGAGAGATAGAGAGCACAGGTGTCTGAGGATGCCAGAGACATTGGATGTCTTAACAAGGCATAACATTTCAAGTGGTAACTTCATGATGATTGAACTTGCAGGAGAATTCCCATCGAAGTTTCACAACACAGAAAAGAATGTTCATAATACTAGTAATGTCTGGGATTTTTCCGGCAGCGCTAGTCAAGACAATTAGAAAACAAATTTCAAGATGTAATGAAAGGCAAAATTATCATTTGAAAGTGAGAAGACTAATTCTGGAAAACCCAAGAAGACACAATGAAAATATCAAGAGCAACGGAAGAATTTGGTAGGTACCCAGGGAAAATTAATACATTAACAGCTAACAACTTTACCCTAGAGGAAGGATCTGAAAATTATGACTGGTAGGGCCGATCTAGCCCAACTGCCTGCTTCTGCAAATACTGTTTTGTCTTTTTTTTTTTTTTTTTTTTTTTTTTTTTTCCAGAGCTGAGGACCGAACCCAGGGCCTTGCGCTTGCTAGGCAAGCGCTCTACCACTGAGCTAAATCCCCAACCCCCAAATACTGTTTTATTGGAGCACAGCTATGCTCACTCATTTATGTATTGTCTGTGGCGGAGGGGTTTTGTTTGTTTGTTTGTTTAAATATTTTATTTTTATTTGTTTCTATTTTTTTGAGACAAGGTCTCATTATCTAGGCCCAGCTGGCCTAGAATTCTAGATAGACTGGGCTGACCTCAACCTCACAAAGACCCACTTGACTCTGCCTCTTGAGTGCTGGGATTAAAGGCATGTGTCTCTACACAGGCCTTTATTTTTATTTTTAATTATGTGTATATTTGTGTGTCTATGTATGGGTATGTACACATACATGAGTTTAGTACCCTCAGAGTCCAGGTGAGGGCTTCAGATCCTCTGGAGTTATGGGTAATTGTGAACAGCCCAACCTGGGTGCTGAGAACCCAACTCAGGTGCTCCAGAAGAACAGAAATCATTCTCAACTACTGAGCTGTCTCTCCAGCCCCATCCGCGGCAGTTTTTATACTGGAACGCAAGACTGAGTAGTTGTTATAGAAACTATAGTTCATTAAAACTAAATGGTTTACTCACACAGAAAAAGTGTGTCAATCCTTGGTACAGCTAAGGACAAATTAGAAAATACAATAGAAAAACCAATTATAATAGAAACAAATATAAATTACCTAGAAATAAATATATATTATTATATGTAATATAGAACTTACCAGGAAAACCTCACCACTATACAAATAGACTTAAAGCAGACAAGCGAATAAATGAAATAACTTATTCCTTTGTTATTTCGACACAGGGGCTCATGCAATCCAGGCTATCCTCAAACTTACTATACAGCTGAAGAGGACTTCCAATTCTCGTTTCTGTGTGTGTGTTTTTAGGCACATGTGTGAAGGTCACAGGATGATCTTTGGGGGTTGATTCTCTTTCTACCAGCGGGTCCTGGGAATTGAACTCAGTTTGGTCAGGCTTGGTGGCAAGGTTCCTTTGCGTGCTGGGCCATCTGAACTGCCCCAGCCTTCAACTCTTGATCCTCCTGCCTCCGCCTCTCTCAGTGCTGCTATTACTGGCTCACACCACCACATGCTGCCAATTTTATTTTGATCAAAAACTAAAGCAGACTTTCTTTAAGTTAACCAGCCAGCTCTGAGCCTTCTCTCTAGGCCCTGTGATAGAATGGCTCAACAAATCTTCACAGAGAGACCAGAGAGATCAGACTGAGGTGATACTATAATTAGTAAAGCTGCAGCAACCATTGTCACTAGAAAGAGAAGGATGTTTAATTTTGTGATTTGGACAGTGCCCGCCCATATTTTGCCAGTGATCAGGCATGACTGTGGAGTGGTTCCATTTGTATTTTGCCCTCAAAAAACCAGAAAGTAGCCTTATCCAGTGTTGATATTTGGTGAACATATGTTCAACTGAACAACAGTGCCATTAAAAAAAGAACTAAACATGTAATAAAGCAAATCCATCACAATTTGAAGGAGAACAACCAAGAAAATGAAAATACTAGGAACAACAAACGTTATTCTTCAGGCATCTAGGTAAGCAATTAAAATTTAAAAATTAATATCTGTATAGAATATTTGGCTGTCTAATAATGCTTTTTCCATTCTATAAATTAATAAACTATATACTTATATAATAAATTATATAATACATCTATGATTTAATGAAATTTGACTAACATTTATAGTTTCCCCCTCCCCTCATTTACAGTTCTACATTTATTTGATTTTTGGAAAAACTTGATATCATGTATCAATATTGGGTATCTGAACCAATAAACATTAGAAAAAGCTGAACAGCCAGGCGGTGGTGGCACCTACCTTAAATTCCAGCACTTGGGAGGCAGAGGCAGATGGATCTCTGTGAGTTCCTGGCCAGCCTGGTCTACAGAGTGAGTTCCAGGACAGCCAGGGCTACACAGAAAAACCTTGTATCTGAAAAACAAAAACAAACAAACAAAAAAGAGCTGAACAAAAAGCCAAAAGGCGTTTTAAAAAACTGACATGAGAAAATGTTGAAAATCCAACTACAGGGGCCTGACAAGGTAGTCCACCAGGTAAAGATGCTTGTGCCCATCTTAATTTGATTTTGAGAACCCAGGACCTGCATGGTGGAGAGAGAAACAAGCCCAACAATTAGTCCTCTGGTCTCCACAGTGCTCCATGGCACATTCCTCCCCCAAATAAGTGATTTAAAATTCAAAAGAAAATGTGACTTATAGGCAGAGTTTCTCTGTGTCCTGGCAGCTGCTTCCAAATAAATGACACCGAGACTTATTAATTATGAAACCTCAGTTGATAGCTTATACTTGTTGCTAGTTAACTCTTACATTTTAAATTAACTCACATTTCTTATCTACCCTCTGCCACATGATGATACCTTCTTTCAACATGGCGCATTCATCTTGTTTCTCTCTGAGTCTGCTTGTAACTCCTGAGTTCTGCCCTCCTTCTTAGCATTCTTTCTGCCCCAAATATCCTGCCTAGTCATCGGCCAATCAACTTTTTTTTTTTTTTTTGGTTTTTCGAGACAGGGTTTCTCTGTGTAGCTTTGCGCCTTTCCTGGAACTCACTTGGTAGCCCAGGCTGGCCTCGAACTCACAGAGATCCGCCTGGCTCTGCCTCCCGAGTGCTGGGATTAAAGGCGTGCGCCACCACCGCCCGGCCCCAATCAACTTTTTATTAATCAATGAGAGTAATACATATTTACAGTGTACAAAATTGTAGGTGGAGTTTTTTTTGTCAGGTCAGCTCTGTCCCACCAGCTGCTCCCAAATAACTGACATAGAGACTTAATATTAATTATAAATGTTCGGCCGATAGCTTAGGCTTTTTACTAACTCATAAATTAAACGATATTTCTAATCTAAGTTCTACCACATGCCTTATGGCTTGTTACAACCTCATTTTCTACAGTTCCTGCTTCCTCTGTCTGGCTTGAGACTCCTCAGACTCTGCCCTTCTTCCCAGTGTTCTCCTAGCCTGGCTCTCGCGCCCAACCTCTTCCTGCCTAGCTATAGGCCAGTCAGTTCTCTATTAACCTATGAGAGTAATACGTATTTACAGTGTACAAAGATTGTTCCACAGCTGTGACTGAAGGAATTCCAGCCAACTTGAGCATGACAGACATGGCTCTAGCAGGCCTTGCCCTTCCCCCACTCCCTCTTCTTTGCTAAAAACCATTAGATTACATTCCTAAAGCTAGCCACCAAGGTCTATGCCCTTATTTGGCCACTTCCTCCTCTTGAGGCTGACTACCAAAGTCCAGCAATCAAAGTATTGAAGTCCAGCAATCAAAAGCCCCCTTTGGCTCACCTAATTAACATGCCCAATTAAATTTAAACACCTCATCCTAACACAGGGTTTCCTCCGTATCTTTATAAACTGCCATTTGCCTATGGGCCACATCTGTCTCATCTCTATTCAGAGGAAGTCCTTTGTCCCACTCCTGGACAAATACCCCTCTTTCCTCTCCCTCATCTTCTATCTCTTTTCTTTGTCTCTTATTTCCTGCTTTCTGGCACTCTGGGACAAGTAAATCTCCTTTGTGCTGAGAACTTGGTCTTGGGGTCCTGAGCCAATACCAATCTTTTACAGTGACTATAAAAAGTTGTCTTTGTTGGGCAGTAGTAGCATGTGCCTTTAATCTCAGAACTTGGGGGTCAAAGACAGGCAGATCTCTGGGCTCAAGGCCAGTTTATTCTGCCTAGTGAGTTCCAGAACAGCCAGGAATATGCAGAGGAACCCTGTTTCAAAAAAAATTTTTTTTCTTTACAGCAAGAATTACCATACATATACAAAGCTCTGCAAGACAAGTAACACAGAGAAAAATGCATTTGAGAAATGGATTCATGTCCCTTATTTAAAAAACAAATAACCTAGACTGGGATCTAAAAGTGTTTTCCAGTGCAAGAGTATCTATTGGAGAGAAACCCAGAGTGGCAGCTGCTTCTGAACGGGGAAGAGACAGCAGAGAGTTGGCAGGAGGGAGGGCTTTTATAGGGTTTTTGGAGCGCGCGCGCGTGCGCGCGCGCGCACACACACACACACACACACACACACACACACACGGTGAGCTAGTGGAAAACTACAACGCAGCCGGAAGTATCGATTGGCTGCCAGCTTTAAAACATTGTTTGACCTGCGAGTCACCGGGGATTTTCAAGTCTTGGGGCTAGGAGACAGGACAGGGGCAAGGTGTTCTTTCCTTGGCCCTGGTTCCAGGAATGGGGTTCAAGTCAGGGATAGGGTGTTCTTTTCGTGGTTCTTTTTTCCTACAGAGTTGTGATTCTGGAGTATTTGTTTATTATATTCAAGGCCCTGAGTTCAATCCTCACCACTATCAAAAATCAATAATTTGCCAGTCAGTGGTGGCGCATGCCTTTAGTCCCAGCACTCAGAACAGAGACGGGCGGATCTCTGTGAGTTCGAGGCCAACTTGGTCTACAGAGTGAGTTCCAGGATAGACTCCAAAGCTACGCAGAGAAATCCTGTCTCGAAAAAATAAAAACAAACAAACAAAAAAATTAATAATTTACCAGACAACCTATATAAATAGGACTCTTCTAGGAATCCATTTCGTTTTTTTACAGCCAGCAAAAACCATAAAATGTTAGGGCTGGGCGTGGTGGTACAAGCCTGTAAACCCCAGCACCGGGAAGTGGAGGTCCGAGGATGAGATCACACACAATTAAAGATTTAAAAAATTAAAAATGAGGACTTGACCACAAGAAGGCGTGTCTTCGCAGAGGGCGCCCCCGAGAAAGGACTACGATTCCCATAAGACTCTGCGCCGAGCGTGCTCGGTCTCCCGACAGGCCCCGCGCGCCTCACCCGCCAGGTTTTGCTTAAGCCCGGGAGCGTCCTGGATGGAGAGTCCAGAGGAAACGGCGGGCGGTAAACAGCGCGTCCACTTGCGCCCTGGCTCGCTGCATGACGCCGAGCCGGCTACGCTGCACCTCCTGCCCTGCGAGGTTCTGGTGAGCCGGCCCGCTCCGGTGGAACGCTTCTTCACGCCCGCGGTGCGCCGCGGTGCAGACGGTGAGTCCCGGCAGGCCCCGCGCAGGCTACGGAGCTCAAGGGCTTGGTGGTTCGCGGGAGAAGCGGCCGGCACATTCCCAGGGGGCCAGGCCTGCCTGATGGGCTTTGAATGTTCCTCCCGCAGGGCTGCAGGTGTCGTTTCGGGGTCGCAGCCTGCGGGGCGAGGAGGTAGCTGTGCCGCCCGGTTTTTCGGGATTCGTGATGGTGACGGAGGAGATGGGAGAGGGGCTGATAGAGAAGCTGAACTTCTCGGGGGACGCGGAAGACAAAACGGACGAGGCACAGGAACCACTGGAGCGCGATTTCGTGAGCAGAGGGAGAGGGTAGGCACAGGTGAGGGTAGTAGCTGCCGTCTCGATTCTGAACCCGGCCTTTCCTAGGACCGCTTTATCGGAGCCACCGGCAGCTTTAGCCACTTCACCCTGTGGGGTCTTGAAACGGTCCCTGGCCCGGATGCCAAAGTGCACAGGGCCCTAGGTTGGCCCAGCCTCGCTGCAGCGGTGAGTACACACATGAGCCCTTTCCCCGCTAGGCTCGGCTCGCCCCCCCCCCCCCCCCCCCACACCCGGTTTGAATCGTCCCTAGTAATTTGGGGTTTTTAGGGACCATGACTCTGGAGGATCAGACTGAGGAGTGGTGGGAGGCACTCCTCACCTCTATCATCGGGCCTTCTTAGAAGGGACTCACCCTGAGCAGCTGGGTTCCCACCTGTTTTGTATGAGAAGTCACATAGTAGAAGTGACTCCTGTTGCAGATTCACGAACAGGTGCCTGAGGACTGAGAGCCAGAGCATGAAAATGAAAGTCACAGATCCCTTCACACCAGTAAACCAGCAATAAATTCACTTTGGAGCCACTGTTCTAATCCCAATAAATGAGCTCTTCACAACACCTGTGCGTCTGTGGGCACCTTAGCACCCTGAACCTGGCATGGCATGACACCCCACCTGGCAAGAACTTTTGATGCTCTGCCTATATAAACAATTTATTGCTGGGGGCAAGAGGGGCCAGAATTTTACAACCAGCACCCACCCCACCCTCCAGCTCCTCCTTTACAAAAGAAATGTTTACAATCGCCAGTCCTCTGTACAGAATGCTCCCACCCGTCTCAATGTACACAGCTGCCTGGATCCCTCTGGTCCCTGTGTTCAGAGCAGACCTGGGCCGATAAGCCAGCTATCCTGGGAGTTGGCCTAGCCCTGAGCTTGCCTTGGTACTGGCCACTAGTTGGCCCCTCCTAGGCCTCTCCTTTTGGAGCTGTCCTCAGCCCGCCTCCCTTGGTGTGCCTCTTGGAAGGGACAGGGCAGCCTGCCAGCCCCATTTCTGCCAGCTCTCTTGATGCTGCCATGGGCAGTGTCTGGTCACCACTTTCCTCTCTTGCTCCAGTCTTTGGGAGTGAAGTGCAGACACTTGGAGTCAATTCGAAGGAGCCGCTTGAGCATAGCCCGCTCATGCCCATCCACGATGTCCTCTGACAGAGTGAGGATATACTGGCCCTAGGCAAGAGACAGACCCAGCATGTGGTCAGTGCATAGGGTCTCCCACCTGTACCCATTCACCTATCCCCTTAGTGTGCCTCCTAACCTTGTAGTAATTGATGAGATTGAGATACTGCAGCGTGGAGATGACATCTTCTTTCTTGATACTGGTGATTTCACTGATCTCACTGCGGGAGGGCAAAAGTTAGGACCCCTGAGGGTATTCATCTGTCCCCAGGAGCCCCAGGAACAGACAGGTCATACCATGCACCCCCAGCTGGGCATTCGGGCTCACTTGATGGTAATCTGTGGCCTCTCCCCGCTCTCTGACTTCAGTCCCATCAGGATCTCCAAGATGGTTTGGGACCAATAACTTCGATAGGATAGGAGGCCAAGATCTGACAGGGGCTTCTCAGGAGTACCCGTCTTCCCTTCTACTTTAGAGAGTTCATAGCCTAAAGCAATGGAGCACAAGATGCTGAAGAAGCATCACAGGTATATACAGCAGTAAGTAAGAGCAGATACTGGTAGAGGAGCTAGGCTGTGGTACTCCTGGTAATGGATGAGTAGCTTCCCTGCCTGCTGAGACAGTGGGGAGCTGAGAGCACCCAGACAAACGGCTATAACAGGGTACTTGCTAGCCACTGGAAGCTAATGGGATGCAAGTGCTAGATCTTCCTTTGCCATCCCAGCCTGTGTCTGGGGGCATTGGGAGGGTGGTAAGGGAGCCCTTTATGATCTGAGTATACTTGGAGGATACTTTTCAGTGTCATTGATTTCCCTAGCTGTGATCCTGGGAGTGTCAGCTGCTCCTACCACCAGGATGAGCTGGGTGGTTGAGGATGTAACAAAAAAGTTCAGTGGTGCTTCCTCAGAGCCAGGTAACTGACCTCTGTAATGGCCCTTTCCCTCTTACTGTGCTGACCACTAGGCACTGCCGGACAGTTCATGATGAGACCTTTAGGTCCTGCAGAGCTGACAGCTCTTTATTCTCTCGCCAGGGCCCTGGGAGATGTCCCAATTAGTTTGGAGAAACCCTCCCTTACCTTCAGCTATACTGACAACACTTTCTGCTCCTGGCTATATCTCTGTTGGCTAGTCTTACCCTCTTTGCTCAATCTCCCCTGGACAAGATGGGCTGGAGAGACTGGTGTCTAGAGAGGAAGCCAGAAGGGGAAGAGAGCATAGGGGTTCCTACTCAACTGTTGGATCCATGGTGTACAGTCCCATGAACCCACTGGATGCCGTACTTGCCTCTATAGTTCTGAGTTCCTGAGCCTGTCCAGTGATTGCCTCCTGCCCTTTTATCGGGCTCATGGCACTTCTGTGGTCTGTCCCCTGAGTTTCCTTTCACCTCTCCCAGGCTGAGTTTCCAGAGAATGTGATTCCCAACTTGGAACCACTCAACTAATAAAATATTCCAAACAGATCCTGACTTTGAACAAGTAAAGCATCTGCCTTTCACCAGCAGAAAAGCTAAGGCGTCTTCCCTGACTCCTAGATCAGAGAATAGTTAAGTGAATGGAATGGGCATGGATGGGTTAACTAACACTAGAAAACAAAATGTGATTGCAGAGTTAAGAGCCCACCTGTGATGAGAAGGGGCCAAAGCCCTCCCAGGCTTTAAAAGACTAGCCTGACAAAGGAACAGGGTACAAGTTCATCTTTTAGTGGATTAAACAGCCTTTTGGACATCTACTGCCTGCAAGGCTCAGGGCATGCCTGGTGACATAACCAGGTACTTACTATGGTACACACCCAGAGGTGAACATGAGGAACTGGCTGCTCCAGACGGGAAAAAGTGGGTGACACTTAAACCTTTACCCAAAGAGAAGTGGGTGCTGGGTACCCACTCTGGGAAATAGGGTAGTTACTTGAGGAAAGGACCTTGGGAGAGTGCCCCCTTTATTTCTGGCAGCTCTCCTGGTGACTGGCAAGTCTGCATGTGAAGCACAGATGAAGGGACACCCATACCATATTGGGCCTGCTAGCCTCCCAGACTCCTGGTCAGGCAGCACATACTCACTGAACTCAATAAGCAGCTTGCCATAGCCCCGGCGCTGATAGGGAGGCAGAGTCAGGATACAGGCCACATTGTAATCTTCTGTAGATTCTTTTTCCTGGAAGAATAGGTGGATTTTATGGAAGGCCTGGCTCAGGGCAGGGCTGAGGGACAGTCTGGGTGAGCGCTGACCTTGGAGAAGTAGCCCACAATGTGGAAGCCCTTGCAGTCATACTCTGTCATCACGTAGAAGAGGAAGGGGTCTGTGTCATAGTACAGTGTCTTGTGGTCGAGGAAGCACTTGGCCAGAAGACACAGGTTTTGTGAGTAACTCTGTAAAGAAAAGGGCCTGTCAGTCAGCACTCTGGGGGTACTATAAAGAGTTACATCTCACTGTGGCCTATGTGACTGCAGGGGTACACGTACCACAACATGCATGTGGAAGTCAGCACTCTGGGGGTACTATAAAGAGTTACATTTCACTGTGGCCTATGTGACTGCAGGGGTACATGCACCACAACATGCATGTGGAAGTCAGCACTCTGGGGGTACAATAAAGAGTTACATCTTACTGTGGCCTATGTGACTGCAAGGGTACATGTACCACAATATGCAAGTGGAAGTCAGGAGCTTCTTGGGAGTCCATTCTCTCCGTCCACAGTGGACTCAAGTGCTCAGGTTGTGTGACAAGGACTTCTACCCACTGAGCCATTTCAAGGGCTCTGAGGATGAGCTACTGCAGTTGACTAGTGGTGAGCTTCCCTCCTAGGACCCTGACCCACCAGTCAGTCCATCACCACTGCTTAGGTAAGGACCACTTCTTTTTTTCTGAGACAGGGTTTCTCTGTATAGTCCTTGTTGTCCTGAATCTCACTCTGTAGACCAGGCTGGCCTCAAACTCAGAGAGATCCGCCTGCCTCTGCCTCCAGAGTGCTGGGGTTAAATGTGTGTGCCACCACCACCACCTGGATAAGGGCCACATAAGTGTCCAGGAGCATGTGTACGAGTGTCTAGCTGCCTGCCCCTCTGGTGAGCTGCACAGCTTTCCATATACCCAGTAAAGCCGGCCCTGCCCTGTTCCACTTAACAAGAGTCAACTTCCAAGCCAGGCGTGGTAGTGTATGCTGATAATCTCAGCACTTAGGAGGCAGAGGCAGGATATAAGTTTGAAGTTAGTCAGCTGGGCTACCTCGTGAGAGCTTTTTGTTTGTTTTCTCTGTAGCCCTGGCTGTTCTGGAACTCACTCTGTAGACCTGCCTGCCTCTGCCTCCCCAGTGCTGGGAATAAAGGCGTGCACCATCATTGCTGTCCCCTGCCCCCCTTTTAAAAAGGTTTTCCCATGAAGTTAGCCTCACGCTCAGTCTTAGGAGAGAAGTTCTACCCATGTGGCTGTCCTTGGGTGTCAAAACCCTAATGCTCTAGCCATAGTGATGCCTCTTGGGAACTGGTCTGCTATTCTCCAGTGGAGGTTTAAGAAAATGCCAGCCTTAGTGGTTCTTCCTGTAAAACTTGGACTCGCTGCTTTACAACACACATGATTTCTAGAGGAGTTTTAGATAGCTTTGTAACCACCTGCTGATCATTTTCTCAGACACCACACTTAACACAGAGCAGTTGGTGGCACACACCTTTAATTCCAGCACTCAGGAGGCAGAGGCAGGCAAATCTCTGTGAGTTCGAGGCCAGCCTGAACTACATAGTGAGTTCCAGGACAGCCAGGGCTACACAGGGAAACCTTGTCTTGAAAAACCAAAGGAAAAAAAAAAGGGGGAACAGTGTGTGACTTTGTCTTTTTCTCGAGCTCCCCCCCCCCCCCCCCCACTAATCCTGGTACCTGCCTCTCTCCCTCAATTATCCTGGAGGCCCAAGAGAGGTATGTATCTCAAGGGGCTCTAAACTTCTCACCTATAAGACCCAAACCTGCTCCTCCACTGATCTTGTTCCTGACACCTGACCTCTGGCCTTCAAGTCTTGCCTCATCCCCGCCCCTTTTCTTGTACTTTTCACACATACTGTCCTGTGCCAGTCTCGCATCTCTGAACCCAGCTGCTTAGAACTGCCTTAGACATGTTCTCTCCTTCATGTCCAGGTTCACAGGTCAACCTGGACACTTTCTCAAAATAAGATTTGACTGTATACCCCTAGCTGGCCCAGAACTCCTTACAGACCAGCAGAGATCCACCTGCCTCTGCTTCCTGAGTGCTGGGATTACAGCATGTGCCATCATACCCATCCACGATCCTTTTTGTTTTTGAGAAAGGATCTTATTAGCTAGCCTTGAGTTTCAAATGCTCCGACCTCAGCCTCCTGGGTGCTGTGATTACCACGCTGGGCTAAACTGTTCTTTAAACGGCTTCTAATTTTACATTTGACCTTTGCCACCATAAGTTCTTATTTTTGTTGCTGTTTGT